TGTAATTTTAAAAACCTAATAATGTGGGATATTATGCTGGTACAATTCTCTCTCTTTTACCTTCTCACTTACAAAGGTTGACCAAATGTGCAACCCACTTGCAACCATTCTTTCCACTTCACAAATTTCTATATAAACATAAAATGGACATATTTCTTAGAACATAGTTTTGAAAATATATAGTTTTAAACAGAAAATTTTCAGATTATTTAAATTCCTTTCAATCCTAGAGAGTGTAATTTCTTTCTTTTAAAAAAATTGTTGACCAAAAAAGAATATTTGAGTCTAATAAATGTTAGTCGCTCCAAAACTTTTGATTTGTCGGTACCTAATGACATTTCAATTCCAATGTCCGGATTGATTTCTGCATTTCCAAATACACTATATTTTTTGTTGTTGAAGTGTTAATTTAGTTTGTTACTTGGTCTTTCTATAGGTTCTACTATTAAAGCCGGTAATACAATTACTTGTACATGGACGAAACGATTCTCTAGCTCCCCCATCCCCACCTTCAGTACGTAATCAGTACTCATTAAATCTTAATTCTTTTCAAAGATTCAGTGATCTATGATAGAATATGTTTTGAATTATTATTCGAGAGCAGATATTCCCGTTATATACCACCGAAACACTGGATATATTAAATATTTTATATTTTAATTTCTGTAAAGACTATCGCTTATTCACATGGATTAAAAACTTACATGAATATCTCAACATGTTCTGTCTATAATGTTTAAGCTTAAATTATTAGTTGAAATAAAATATATTCAATTTATATATTTTGTGTTTTATTAAAAGTAATTTTTTTGTTTTGTTTTATATGCAATAAATGATTTTGAAACGGACTAAATATGGCATGCAATTTATAATTTTTTTTTAAGGAACACATGCAATTTATGAAAAGGTCAGTTGTATAATGTATGCTAAACAAAAAAAAATTACATGTCACGGACACGGAGACGCATGTAAAAATTTATTTTCTTTTTGGTCGAATAGTATAATATATATATATATATATAGTAATCATAATTAGAGAGTGATTAAGGGGCTTTAAATAAGAGACCACATGAATTGTCTCCCACTCCATGCTTTGCTTGAAGAAGGCAGATATGGGTAACATGTCAGCTTGCCTACCAATCTTCAACCTCCTCACACTACACATTACCCCTTTAATTTCTTACAATTTCTTATATTATTTATTTTAGGTTTTGGATTGTGATCACTTTCTTGTTTTAGGTTCGGTTCTCTTGATCTGGCCAGATTGTGTTGGCACTTAATTGTCCAGTGGTTTCTAAATATTTTTATTTCCACCATGATTTTAAAAAGGAGTTATATGATGTTATTAAGTAGTACATTATGTCTAGAAATATCATAAATAGAATTCATCGCGTTTATACCCTCTGAAGAAACATTATCTTGAATAGACAAATAGGTCATGGAATAAAAAACTTTACCATGCGATTTAAAAAAAAAACAAATACTCCATAAAGAGTATATGACACCAAAAAGATAGCATTTCTATCTTTAAATGTCTTTTTCTTAGAGCTAGCTAGAGAAATCAAGGCTTGGTTCAATTTACATCACATCGTATTTTAACAATATAACACATTACAGGGGAGTATATTTTTTTTTTCTTTTTAATAATCAAGCAGGGAGATGGTTATTTCACCAACTATGTTTTATAATTTCAGTGCGGTTTTTTAGCCAACTGTATTCTGTATTAGTTTTTTTTTTAGCTGGAAATAAATAATGTATAATACAGAAAAAATGTAAAATCTTAAAACCTATAGATGAATGAAATAGATAAAACGCAAACGGGTGGAGGAAGACGATTGATAATGGTGATGGTGGTGGAAAATGATTCGTCAAACAGAATGAATAAAAAGATTGTTGAGACTTAACTGAGAGAAGTCGACGTGGAACGTTTCGTTAGCTTTGGTTTATATTTAGCACTTTCCAACCAAGTAAAGTTAGGTCACCCATAATGTACAAATTAATATAAGCGTGGCCGCGAATGAGAAATGGAGAAAGTCTAAAACCAAAAACCAACAAAAAAACTTGGAGAAAGTCACAATTCGGTTAAGTTTTCTTTTACTGGTTAGTGTGATTTATAACTTTTTTTATTACAGATAAACCTATCAAAGGAATCAATCGTCGGTTTAGTCTGGACCATCTCCTTATATATCTTTGTCAATAATGTAAACCATTTGTTTATATAATCACTATCGCAATGTCATAATATTTTAAAATATATGTTAAAAAAATCTTATCAAAAATTTCACGTGTACACCTTCAGTGATTTGCAAGATCAATAATCCTAATTTTTTAAACTAGCAAACAAATATAGAATTTAAGAGCTGAAATTTTTTATCACCACATAATTTGAAATGAACCAAATATTTCAAAAACCCAAAGTTCATACTAAACGTAACCGATATGATCACCCTTTACAAATAAGCGTTAAAAATATCACTCACGGTGTTAAAAGTATTCTTTTTTTTTTTTTTAATGAGCAAATAAGCGTTAGAAGTTAGAATTGATATTTCTTAAAATTCGTTTTTGATTACTTTGCTGATGTCTTATAAGTTTCGACTAAAAATTTTGCTTTTGCCATAACGAAAATATTCCTGACTTCTTTAAAGGGTCAATTTTGTCGTTTGGAAATTGGAACAAAATAATTGAACCTTAAGAATATTATGAGAATGTCAATGATATAGATACGTATTCCAGTTAACGAGAACTTCAAACCATCAATTCATTTAGTGAACGAAAATAATGAATTGCATACAAATAGTATACGTACTATATTAGTATATTAACTATTATTCCATTGAAATAATTTTGTTTCTCATGGTATCGGTCCCCGACGGCCAGACCAGTCTCCTAAGGGGAAAGGTGTGGCAACTCATTAACACGACGACACATGTATTTATTAATAACATATCGTATTTTAATGATTGTAATTAGTCCTAGTGTTATATATTTAAGACTCGAGGTGTCAACATTGGAAAAAAAAACATGACTCATGATTAGAAAGATCCAAATATCTCAAATTTTCAAAGCGAGGAGAAGACAAACTAGTGATTGGCTTGACCCGATAATTTAATTTAATGATTTAGGCGATCTCCCAATAACTTTTTTTTTTGTTAAAAAAATCTCCCAATAACTTTACGTCATGATTTTTTTCTTCTCTGTCTTATTTAATGTTTTCGATTTAAAATGTTATCAAACAATTTTGTTTTCTGGAACGTGTGTTATATGACGCGTAATCATATCAAATAATCACATTATACGACAAAATGATATAGCGTAGAAAAAGGTCAGATTCAAAAGCTATATTTTTATTAGTTATTTATCTCTAAGTATGAAAGATAACGATGATGAATAAGATTTGTGTGATATATAGATAAAATACACCATTTGTAATGCCTTATGGGCTTTCGTTTATAAAATGAATAGACGACAAAAAAAAAATATAGATAAATATATTTGCTGACGCATAACAAAAATAAATCATTTATAAATAAACTACGAAGAATGCTATTTAAATATTTCTTCATCCGGATTGAGTTTTTATTGATCTTTCAACATGGTTATATATTAATAGACTATTAATAGTATGTTTGACCAAAAAAAGATTATAATTATATTACCATGAATTAATCTAAAATTTCTTAAAGTTTATTAAAGAGTAATGTTCATCAATATGTGAAAATATCATTTTAATTGTGTAGAGTATACTTTCTATAGTGCATTTTTCTTTTTGAATAAGAAATCAAGATATGTCAAATGATTGCAAAATACATAACAGCTTATGTTCGTAAATATGTCAGATATTCGGAGTATTAGTTTACATGTTAGTTGAAAATACAAAATCATAAATAATTGTTGGTATAGTATATGCCTCTCTATTTCGTAGAGAGTGTTTTCCTTGAATTTCTATTTTTTCAAAGCTAATAATTACTAAATTTAAATTATTTATATTATTTAGGGGTATATTAAATATATATATATATACATGTTTTCAGAGTTCTTTTAATAAATGTGTTAAAATGGTATTTTCGTGAAATGGAGAGTGTATATACCGTTAAAATCATAAAATGAAGAATTTGTTGGCATTGAGTTAAAATATTGGCAGGAATATAGGATAAACATTGACTTTTGTGTTTTGAGAAAGGGTGGGGGAAACTAAACCAATTAAAAGTATGTGAAAAAGGGTGGGGGGGGGGGGAAATAAAAACAAAAAGGGTAAAAAGATATCATAATATTAAATATAAATTGGAACACACAAAAACTCTTTATTGAAATAACGGTCCGACCCCGATTTGTTTAGATAATTGGAAGACAATTATAAAATTGGTTAAGAGTAGACTGATCAAACCTCAACGAGAAAAACAAAACGTACCTCATCCACGACAATAACAAATTTAAAATATATAAGTATACGTTTGTTGGTAACAAAAGAAGTATTAATAAGAAATTTGGAATTGAACACCTTTTAACCCAAAAAATAAGAGAGATGGAATATACGTGCTGTAAAAGAGTTTGGAGAAAGTAGAAAAAAAAAAGAAAGAGAGATTAAAGTGGTGGTTCTCGACGAAAAAACAAAAAAAAAAATTGGTGGTTAACATGTCAAGTCATTAACACTTAGGCACCATCCATTCCATCATGCGATCCCTCACAGACTTATCCGCACGACATGAGAAAAAGAGAGAGAGACCAATTACGAAACTCGAAAGCAGTACTATTGTCAGTTAGGTTCGACACGTGTCAGTTTCAGACATGTAGGTCCCTTCAATGATTTGTGATGATATATAGAGTATCTAACTCCGATTCAGCCCCATATTAGGACCGTTTAATTGTTTAAATATTTTT